CTTTTCCTTTTAACTCTTTCAATCTGTTTTTTTTTTCTGTCAGATTCCGGAAATTGGCGTCTGGGGTTGTTCCTGCTTTGGATCTTCCTGATTGTTGTGGGGATTATTGCAGGAGAATGTGATTTTGTTTTAATTTCATATAGTTATTTTGTTTTTTGCTTTTTTTTTTGTTTGTTCGAGATGGTGGCTGCAGAGTGAAGTAAATGCAGCAACATTTATTTTACTTATTTGTTTGTTATTAGACTCGTTTCTTTATTCAAGCTGGGACAGTGAGCTTTGTAAGTAAAGTTCATTACTAGCCGCACCTTGGTGTCAAAAACAATGTCCCTTTATGTTTTGAAGCTTCTCAAATGATGAAGTCATTTGACATTTTGTAACCGAATATATTCTCTTCAGACTTTGTGTTTATTACTGAGTTCTGTTTTGGTTTTTTGTAGTCCATGCATTCACTTTTACTATCTGCTCTACCGGGAATATAAGTTAATTGATGATATAAAAACAGAGGAAAACAACCAAAGGAAAAAAAGAAAAGAAGAAGCTATATATTTCTTTGCATTTATTTGTCTTTTCTGTTAGCCCTTTCCTGGAAATAACGTGAAGACTGTAAAAGTAGTGTTGTATGCATCTCTGTTATCTGGAGTTACGTCTTGGTGGATTTTTGCCGAGCTAGATTCTTATATCTTTTAATTTTATGGCCAATTTGCAGCCAGCAAAGCCTGGGGTTGCAGCTGAGCCGAAGCGTAGTAAGGTTGAAATTTTCAAAGAACATAGTAACTATATAAGATATCCTCTTAATGAGGAGTTGTTGACAGATGCCCCTAACATAAATGAGGCTGCCACACAATTGATCAAATTCCATGGGAGCTATCAGCAGTACAACAGAGAAGATCGAGGACAGAGGTCTTATTCATTCATGCTTCGTACCAAGAATCCTTGTGGGAAAGTGTCAAACAAGCTGTACTTGACAATGGATGATCTTGCTGATCAATTTGGAATTGGAACGCTTCGCTTAACCACCAGACAGACATTTCAACTACATGGAGTTCTCAAGAAGGATATGAAGACTGTTATGAGCACCATTATTAGAAGCATGGGTTCTACTCTTGGTGCTTGTGGTGATCTGAACAGAAATGTTCTTGCTCCAGCTGCTCCACTTGTGAGAAAAGATTACCTTTTTGCACAGGAAACTGCCGAAAACATTGCTGCTCTGTTAACTCCTCAATCGGGATTTTATTATGATATGTGGGTAGATGGGGAAAGAATCATGTCAGCAGAACCTCCAGAAGTGGTGGAAGCCCGTAACGACAATTCTCATGGAACAAATTTTCCGGATTCACCTGAGCCTATTTATGGAACTCAATTCCTCCCAAGAAAATTTAAAATTGCAGTGACCGTGCCAACAGACAACTCTGTGGACATTCTCACAAATGATGTTGGTGTTGTTGTCATTTCTAATGCTGAGGGGGAGCCTCAAGGATTCAACATATATGTAAGTGGATTTAGTACTTACATGTATTACTTATTAGAAATTAGGAGTTATTACTTCATTTTCTTTCTAAAGTTTTCCTTGCCCTATGGTCTTTTTGCTTAATATTTCTTGTTGCAGGTAGGAGGAGGCATGGGAAGAACACATAGAGTTGAGACCACTTTTCCTCGTTTAGGAGAGCCATTAGGATATGTTCCGAAGGAGGATATTTTATATGCAGTTAAAGCTATTGTTGTGGCACAACGTGAAAACGGAAGAAGAGATGATCGCAAATATAGTAGACTAAAATATTTGATTAGCTCCTGGGGGATTGAAAAATTTAGGAGTGTTGTTGAGAAATACTATGGGAAGAAATTTGAACCCTTCCGGGAATTACCAGAGTGGAAGTTTGAAAGTTACTTGGGGTGGCATGAGCAGGTTAGTTCTGAACCCTGTAAGACGTCTACTTTTGTTAGCTCTGATACTTGAATGATTGCTTCTTTTAAATGCTGAGGTGGAGCTTCACATCACAACTCCTACTTTCAGGCTGCAACAGTGCAACATTCTGTCTTTAATTCACATCACAAATTTTCTCAAGCATGGATGTTGTACATATGTTGTATATACATCTAGAAAATATACGCTATTTTAAATTGAACAAGTATTTTATGCGTATATATTGAATTAGATCCTTGTATGGTTTTTTCTATATTTGATCTTTCACGAAATATCATTTCCCATGTGCATTATGTCTTAAATGCATCAGTTGAACTTAAAAACATTATTACATTGAAGCTGTAGATTAAATACTGTGTAATAGTTAAAAATATGTCATCGATATAGGTACTTTGACATGAGAATATCATTGGAAATTTGATTTTCATTTATGGTGATCATGAATGTTGATAGCAAATGCCATCGTCTGTTGGAAACTTAATACAATTATAAAAAATGTTGATCTTGTTCCTTTAGCAACCCCGGAAACCATTAACAAATTAAGAGTTCCCTTGAGGGTTGGCTTTAGTCTCTTGATGCCTCAACATTTATTTCCCACCTTGTCTGAGAATGTTATCTACTTTCCAGGGTGATGGTAGCTTATATTGTGGGCTACATGTTGATAGTGGTCGTATTGCCGGGAAAATGAAGAAGACATTGAGAGAGGTGATAGAGAAATATAATTTGGATGTTCGGATCACCCCAAATCAAAACATCATCTTGACCAACATTCGCAATGCATGGAAGCGTCCCATTACCACAGTTCTTGCACAAAGTGGTTTGCTGGTAAACTAATGTTGTTTGGCACTACTTAGTGATTGAGTTCTATCTGAAAATTTAAATCTACATGTTTCAACATAGCATGAACATCTCGATTGGCTTTCCTACAGTCGAGTAGTCTTAGCTTCAGTTAATCTATAAAAACAGAGATGATGTGATATTGAAAGTTGCTTGTGTTGATAAGAGACTTGATGATAAGGAGTAAGGACTTCTAATTTCTGGGTTGTAATCTTCATAATTGATGCTGAGCTGCTGATGCTAGGATGGATATAAAGTTGTGGTATAATTACATGGACGTTAGAATTATGAAGTTGTTTTCTACCTTTTTGTTGGGAACATTTTTTGTTCTTTTGTACTGATCACATGTGCATTCTTTTGACTGAATTATGCTTTTACAGCACCCAAGGTATGTAGATCCCCTGAACATAACTGCGATGGCATGTCCAGCTATGCCACTTTGCCCTCTGGCGATAACAGAAGCTGAGAGAGGAATTCCAGATATCCTTAAGCGAGTTCGAGC